CAGTGTATCAACTGGTAATAAAAACTATAAAATCAACAAAGGACGTGGAATGAGGAAACGTACAAATTTCATGTTATATTAATGGGGAATAATGCATCTTAGCAGTTTTTCACTATAGTGAAAATCAGGAAAATGAAAAGGTTCCTTTCGGTCTGACTGTTTCACTATAGCGAAAAACTGCTAAGATGCATTATTTAGGACTTCTTTGTTTGATTCAATTTGAGTGTCTACTGGCCACCACAATTTCGTGTGAGGTTTAACATCCTGAAAAACCCAGCGTGAGCACCGATAAAATATAAATAGAGAGTATCAAAATTCCTCAGATCGAACAAAACATTTAGATCATTTTGATTTCTCTGTAGGGCATTTCAGAACAGGAAATTACAGAACATGAGAGAGAATACTTCATGAAAATTCACTCTGGTCTGCATCAATTCAAACAGATCCAGTTCATTATTTGTGCTACAGTATATAAGTATAAGCAAATAATTATTATTATTATCACAGATCTTGCTTCCTAGATATAAAAAACTGAATACCATATAGAAGCATCTCTCCCTCTTCCACCATACGTCCACCTTTGCTCCACCTTGGTTAACTGTGCACACTACATGTAGGTCCCTGTTTCCTCATCCATTTGCCAGAAGGTTGCCCGTTTGTCAAGAGAGTTAAGCTAAATCCTAGCATTACTAATCACTCATCTTTCAGTACATTTCATTCTTGGGTCATGTTATTCCTCTTGACTGAGCTGTAATAAAGAATGCATGTATTTACAGAGGAACCTCTGACTCTGTTGGATGAACTGCTCTTCCTTTTCTGAAATGTATAGAATTTGGTAATTACTACAGAATTAATCATATGTTCTGCCTATGAATATAACGATATTAAAATTCACTACCCACACCGTACTGTGTAAGTCACCTTGAGATGAAATGAACATCACTTTCTGTTTTGAAAAATGTTTTGTTATGCACCGAATAGCAATATGTATAATTCATCTAAAGGATTTCTTCTCTCTGCCTCAGCTGCTTTTTAATCCTAAATGGATTAGTGATGACCAGGAGTCATGTATAAATCCTTTTACAAACCTTAACTGGGGATGTGCTATTTTTTTCTCTTCTTTTTGAAACCTTAGCTGAGGTAAATACTGTAATGCACTGCCATTCCTTGGTGGTCTTTTCTAAACCCAAAAATCAGAACTTTGGTTTGAAGAACTACGAAGTACCAAAAATGGGACGGTGCATCTGTATTTAACCTGTGAATGAATACTATATCTGTATTTCACAAAAATACCGTGGACATGCAGCCAATTAATCCTGCCAATGAACATCAATCTTGCCTGAAGAATATGACTCCATCGTTATAATTTTTTTGCAACTAATAGCTCTGAAAGAAGAAAAAAAAGAAAAGCTCTAGAAGGTGAGGCACTCCATGAGTACTGCGGGTTGCCTTGGCAACTCTCCATTTGGGAATAGGGGAAAAAAAAACATTAAAGACATGAAAATTAAGTTTTGCATACAGCTGTCGATTCCAGTTCAGGCTGGGAAGCTTTGGGGTCTGGATCAGCCTGAGGTCAATAGTGGCAGCGGATGTTTCAATTTCTTTCTGTTATCACAAGTACAACATCTACGTTGCGGGGCATCACACATACGCCATCAGGGCAAAAGCAAAAACTCTCTTAGAACTGGAGACTGCAGTAGAAAAGTGGAGACTGCTGATTGATAAGAAAAGAGAATGTACCAGTGAGCACTCGCATGCCTCAGGGTACGGGCTCTCAGGGCCCAGACTGAAGCTAATTTGCACAAGATGTGTGTGGTAAAATACAGTATGACATTGCCAATATGTGATGTGAAAATTGCAATACTTTAGGAACCAACACCTGAATTGTCGCAGGCACTAAAAATTTGGTCAAAACTTCAGTGCTGAATAATACTATGGTTAATAAGGTGGGGCTAATGTATTCCTTCCAGTACCAAAAACAACTGCTTCACTCTCATACACATCCTGTTGACTTTATGAAGGGCACTGACTGCATTTTAACACTAACCCACTTGACATTTTCTTCACACCTGCCGTGCCACATTGAAAACGTGTGAAGTCTGGGAATACTGCAGGAACACTACCTTAATTAGGTCAAATGATGAGTAAATAATGATGTTGGTAACCGTGTAAGTGCATCATTGTCCATTCCTAATTGATACTGGCAGTCAAAAAGGCTCCAGAAAATGACCAACAATAACAGACCAGGGAGAATTAGGAGCTCAGGTTTTCATACATCACAACTGTAAGACAATATAAATGTACTTTTGTTTCTTTTTCTTTGCAAACAATGGGATACTTTAAAAGGCCATAATGAGCTTTTTAGAAACACCTTTACAACAGTCAATATTATCAATCAATTGCCTTGCTTTAATGTGCTTTGCCATCAGTCTTGAATACAGTAGGTATATTCCACTTATTCCTTCCCGGAGATTTTATATTGTGAACATACAGTAGTTACTCTCTAATAACTTTCAAAAAGTCAGCCAATAAAAGTAAGCACTTAACCGCAGCAAAGACTTCTTGTACTTTGAAGTTTCCCAATAAATTAATCAACCCAATGGACTCTTTCAGAATCAACCAAGTGAAACACAAACTAGAGTCTAAGTGGAAATTACAGGAATCTGCTTTTAAAACTGACAAAAGGAGGAGCGTCTTCACTCAAAAGTTGTGTGAGTCTGGAATAAATTACTCAGCCGTCACTTCATGTAAGAAATGTCTGGATGAGATTCTAAGATCAATTAGCTGTTAGCAGCCAAATTAGTTGGATGGGTATAATGCTCTACTCTTATTTCTTACATGACATCTCATCAAAATTTAGTAGCGCAGTGAAGGTTAGATATTATAATATATATATATAATGGTCAACATATTAGTTCTAACTGGATACTTCTGCCTGTATATACAATTGTCAACATTTTATTTTAATTCTAATTTGACTTGGGAAATGTGCACTTTGAAAGGCAAATTTAGATGCTTTTAAATGTAAAAATGTATCTGTCATTTTGGAGTCTTTCACACAATGACACATGACACTCAGATTTAATGGCATGGAGACTCTGATAGGAATATATAAATATTTAATGTTACATCAATAGCTTTATATGGACCATTCAAAGCCAAATAAAGTAAAATAAAGTAAATAATGAACTTGAATGTAGAGCGTTATCATTGAGAAATTAAATAAAGAGCTTTCTTCTTGGGCCAGTCACTCAGTGCTGGAGGAAAGCCAGGGAAATTGTGCCCATCTCAGAACACATCCGGTCCCCCACAAAAATTGAAGAGTTTTGAGTGTTGAATACTGGATTATAGATATTTTTCTATTGTATTGTACAGTGCCCTCTGAGACGGTAAATCTTTCAAGGGGTTGCTGTCTACGCCTCCTCAGAGTTCATGAAACCTTCGACACTCACACCAAGATATAAAAAAAAGGACCAAACACCTCCATGACAGACACAGTGTACAGTACTTAATGCTTATGTAACTTCCTCCTCCACTTTTTCCCATTCCTCTTATTCTGCAAGGCCCTCTCTGATTGACATGACGTCACTTTATGTACGAAGACATCTGCCCTTAAAATCCCCCAATTCCCTCCCCATCAGCCAAATTCTTATATCCCCTTCACCCCCCTGCTGAAGTGTATTTAACAAACCAGCCCATCCCAAGCCATCTACTGGCCTGGCTTTGACCTGACAGCTCCCTTGGCATAAGAAATAACAGCTAAACTTAAGACCTATCTAAGCTTTGCTGTCACTACATGTCCTAACAGACAGCAAGTATATTAAGGCACAAAAAATCTTTCCTCATATAAAAATGAAAGCACTGAGCAAGCACCTGTCTTGAACCCATGAAAAGAGCTTTCTGTATTCTGAAATAACTACTAATAACTAATGATGATTATCTACTTAAGTACATGAACACTATAATGCAGTAATTAATTATGAATGGCCACACAAAGTATATACTATATATATTATATAGTACTTACATGATACTAATTATGGAACATGATAGCCAATCATGGAACTAACCATAGGGATTTTTCAACAATGGAGTGAAAGTATAACTAAACAAATGATTTGGTTTTCCTCAAAGTATTACTCAAAATGTACTGTATCTGTGTCAAAGACGGCTATAAATGTAACAGTTTGGAAAGCAATAAATTGCATCAAGGCCATTCTTACTTATTTGTTTTATTTTGGTTTCTATAATGAACTTGTTTGTCAAGAATTTGTGTGCCACTTTATGCGGTTAGTTGCTTTTCATGTCAATCTTTGCCAATGTAACCTTTAATTGAATATTCTATTTGACAATTTCTTCAGCATACTGTAGCAGTAATTACAAAATAGTTATGTAAAGCTAAAGCAGAGTAGCAATTTATACACTCATGCTGGAATAAGCATAAAAGTTACCATCTAAATAGACTGGTATCAATGGTATTAAGCAATTGCCTTTGTAATAATTACACTTAATACCAAGGTGAAGAATTCAGATACTCATAGATTTTAAGACAAATCTCTTGGGGGTAGTGGCTTTTAAAGTTGAACTGATTTTATTGAGATTAAACATAATCACATAAAACAAGGAGGAAGACCAATTTGCAACAGGTATGGAACATACAGTAATATTCATTCATTCAATTGAATGACTTCATACAATTCATTATGGCAAATATGATTCTGTTTCAAATATGATTATGTATGGCAAATATGATTCTGTAATAACAAGGCTATTTTAAACGTTTGTAGAGCTCTTTAAACAAGGCATGTTAACCAAACCACAGATCTCGCTGTTATACTGTATGATTTTTGACAACGTCATTTGATCATTTGATAAATGTTAAGTAACTCTGGAAGGCGCTACATGTTCAAGTCCAGCTCTGCGAGGTACTACAAGCCCAGGCTCCGACATGGTGGACGCGCGCCAATGGTGACCCTGGACAAGACTTGTTCCTTACTCACCATTCACCGTGAGGTGCACCCAGCTGCCATTGTGAAAGGTGTCGTATTGCTGCTCCAGCATCAGGACTTTACACTCGTACCAGCCCTGGTCCTCTGACCGCACCTGCTCGATCCGCAGAGAGGCCTTGCCGTGCAGACTGACCCGACCTGCGAGAGGGGGGCAGGAAGAAAACGCCCTTTGAAGCAAATTCTAGTGATTACAGTGCTAACTCCTAATGGAGCCCCCATACACACCAAGGGTGACAAGACTGTCATTCTAGACAAATAATTAGGAACAGCTGTACTGCCTACCATAAAGACCAGAGCCAAATCACCTCATCTCCTTTTCAGACCATCTTATGTTCTTATTGGACATTTTTACATCAAGACGGGGCCATGCAGCTGATCTAGATCTAGACAATGATCTATATACAGAAATACCCTGACCATCCATGTTGCTTCCTTTGCTGGGTGAACCAGGTGTCTGCAGTTTTGGCTCTTAAAAACGCTTCATTGCAGGAATAAATCCCTTCAAGGACATTAACTACTTAATTGATCTTAATGAAGTAACATAAAATAATTAAGAATCTGTTTGGGGACAAATTCTTCAACAGAAACTCAAAGCTGTGGTTGTCTAATGCCAGAAGTAGCAATGAAGGGGAAAGAGGTAATGCTAATCAGTGTGGAAGAAAGGGATATTATGGCTTTGCTGTTACACTGAGACAGCAAAAGGAAAGCTCAGAGATAAGGCAGAATGCTGTAAACACAGTAAACAACACCAAGAGTTCCAGTGGCACAGAATATCAAGAGTGACATTTGGTTTTACAAGCTCTGGCAATATAAAGGCAATACAAACTCCCTGCTGCACTTTTGGCAGCTGTTCATGGTAGACTAAAATATCAGAAAATAAAGGCCTTTAAAAAAAAAAAAGACAGCTGAAACACGCAACACTCTGGCTTCTTCTTTAAGCTGTTTTCCATCATCCTCGCCAAACAAGTCCGCTTTTGTGATCTACAGTGGACCGACTTGTGTTTTTGCTGTTAAGAAGTTGTTCTTCTCAAACCCTCCTCCCCCCCCAATTTCTTTTCATGCCTTTGCTCTTTCATCTTTAAAGAGAAGCACTACTGTGGACAGTGTGGCATGACGCGGGGGCGTGCCCAGTGTGGGGGCGGAGCCCTGGTAGAAGGGCGGAGCCTCGCCTTTGTAGTCCCAGCTGTCGCTGCTTCTAGAAGATGAGCCCCAGCTGGGCAGGTCCTATAAAGGCACACTGGACACCCCCCGAAGGGATGAGCAGGGACAGCCTGGAAGGGGATTGCACCCACATAAGGTTTTCTTTTTCTTTGTTCACCTGACCTGCTGTGCAGTACCACCGGGGCAGGCTGTTCCTTTTCCACAAGTTTAATTTTTATTTTTGGCCTACCAGACTACCAGACTGGACCCCGCTAAACAGGGTCAGTTCAGTCTGGTCAATTCTGGGCTAGTGTTTTTTTTTCCCCAGGTTGGACCCCGTTAAATTGGGTCCAGCGCAGGCTGAAGGTCACGAGGCACAACGGTACACTTTCTATTTTTTCACCCCTTTTTGTGTTATTTTTGGTCCCTGCTAACCTCACACCAATGCTTCCATGCCCTCACCCAGAGCATTGACTTTTTACTGGTGCTGGCCACAGCGCCTCCCACTACACACTGTCACAACAGGGAAAATGTGCTTGTTTGCTAGATGTAGAATCTACAAAGGTGACACAGAAAGCAATCTGCAGTTCAAAATGAAGTAAAGCCTGTAACTCCACATGTACATATTCAACAAATTCAAACACTGAGCAAACTCTGACATTCATTTAATTTCAAAGTAGCATTCACTCCTCTCTGATGGTCTTGAATTGTTGTTTAGAAAATGCAAAAGAAGGACAGCTGTTGGGATTCCAATTATACAGAACATAAAATCATTTTCCACTTTTTTTTTCCATTCTTGGCTCATACAGTGTAGATAGTGCAGTACACTTTCAAAAGGCATTCAAAAAAGGTTTTATTTTTGTGATCTCAGCTCTGCTAGAAAATCCTTGAGTTGCAGTTCTCTTTATTGCTTACTTTTCCATTATAAATTCTGTAAACAGTTGTGCAAAAGTTTTCAATGAGTGTTGTGCTGAGAAATCGAGCGACGGGGGCTTTTTCACAGAGTGTTGTGTTGAAAATCGAGTGATGGGAGCTATTTCACTGAGTGTTTTCTTGAAAATCAAGTGATTGGGCTTTTTTAGTCTTGTGTTAAAAATCGAGCAACGAAAAAGTTTCTCTTAGTATTGTTCCCATTTTATGTGTAAACATAATTTTATGTTTCATTTAAGAATGTAAGAACAAGAGGAGGCTTTTTGACTCGCCTAGCCTGTGTATTTTTCACTACATGATTGAAACAGAGATCTCATTCAGAGATTTCATAAAGGTAGGCAGGTTAACTGTTTCAATAACATGTCTGATCAGCTTGTTCCAAACTTACACAGCCCTTTTCGTGTGTAGTAAAGAAATACCTTTATTACCTCTGATTGGGATATCTGAAAATAAAATAGCTGATGACATCCATCTCTCCCACCAGAATGAATTTATTCTCTCCCCGTAGGCCTTGATATTGTTTTGGTATCAGCTGGTCTTTTACCTCATACTTACTTATTCTATATTTATTTCAGCGGAGCTTTAAATAAAAAGGGGGCATTATTTTGCTCATGCCTTCCACATTCCACAATTTAATTTAAAAGCATAACATTTCAATAGCATAGCTTCTCTGTAGCAAAAGGCTTAAGAGAGACAAATGATATACTTAAAAAGGAAAATAAGAGTGCAAGTCACGCTTTAGTTCAAAGTTTGTTTAATAAGCATTGAAAGAGTACGAGCTCCTAGCAGAGACTCTTTTCTGTGCTTAGCTCTGGGCACCAATATAAAAAGAACAGTATTATTGGAAAACCTTACCATTCATGAACTTCTATCAAAAGCTTATCCAAATTAGGCACACTTTGTAAGCAGGCATAATTTGGTTATTTGTATTCGCCAAGAGTCAATTAATTTTTAAGTATATATCAAGCGATAGACACCTGGTGAATCTTGGAGAATCCCTAGAAGGCTCAGCTAAGTCATGTGTATGCAGAACATTTAGAATAGGAGAACAAGCTAAGGCAAAACTAAAAAAAGACAACCAGGAATACACATTGCCAGGAAAGGACAAAACATCCCTCATCAGTCTTAAACCCAAACAAATGTTTCTGCAGTTCAGATTTGAGCTTTTTTTCTCAGTGGAGATTTATTGTGTTGTTACAGTACGGGTAAACCATTCACCAGGTATTAAAAAATAATTTGTTCAAAAACTAAGCAATGTAGGTTTACCTTATTTTAATTTCTTTACAGAGAATACTATCAGCAACAAGAACAGAAAATAATCTCTGGTCTGGTCCAAACTTTCCAGTTCCCTGACAAAGGGGAGCCAGGAGAAATAAAAAACAATAATTCTAAGGTCACATTAAGGCAAATGGATAAAAAACAGGAAAACCATAGCCAGTGTTTAAAACCACAAAATGTATTAAAGTAACACAGTGTAGAAGCTGTTCACAACAGCACATTTTTGAAGACATTTTTGAACAGCGTAAAAGACACCCTGTATCAATGAGACCTCCAGTTTAATTTCATCTTAAATCTTCTCCATCAAAAAAGCATTCTGACCTAGCCGCCAAATCTTCCACTAACACCTTGTAGCACAGTTGTGAATTAACACCAGGTGGTCTTTGTGACACTGTCTGAAGACGAGTGAGATACAATCTCATTTTTAATTTATTTCCAAAGCATGGAGTGTGTCTTGCAAACTGGGTTTTAGATTAATTGTTCTTGGAACTTTTCCAGATTGAGTTAAAATGTCATCCTGTTTTTAATCAACTTTCCAATCATTCTTGCTGAAGGTGCAGCAGGGTACTGCATACAGTACAGTATGGGCCATTTGCTTATTCTAGAGCACTACAGGACAGAGGGAGCAAGTGCTATGTTTTTCAGAACTTTGCTTTTGCATGAAACACATACTGTTGTTTCACATTGACAAAGGAACATGCTGAAGTTTAACATTATGCATGTTATGTACTGTATTAATGTTCTTTTTAAAGTACTGTATAATAGCAGAACAAGAATACTGCAGTATCTCTTCATGCGACATGCTTATTTCATTACAAGCGGTGGCTACTCAGATATAAATGTTTCTTTATTTAGCTACAGCAACAGAAATAATCCATCCCTATTCTGTGAAGGTTCTGCAGTATCCGTGAAAGTTAATTCCACCTCACCACCACAAAGGGGCTCCTACTATAAAAACTGATAGACAGACTTGGCCGCTGTTAGATGGCAAATGTAATCCCTCCTCTGGAGAGCTTCTGTAATTTAGATGCTATATCCTGATGAGAAAAACCTGGTTAAATATTTTAAATTACAGTGCTGCAGCGTCACAGCTGCAGGCGAGCCTGTCTTGAATGAGAATCACCCTACATAGCACAGAAAACCTACAGTAGGAGCCTAGGGGAGCACGGTTAAAATTAGGAATCGGTAAAAAAATGTGCTTGCTCCCGTCAGCTCTGAATGCAGTACATTTTCATTTTGCTGAAAAAAATCACCGTGATAATGTAAGAGACAAACAATACTGCTCAAATCTCATTTACACAAAAGATACTGTATATGCTTTGATTTTTTTGTTTTTGTTTACGGGTTTAGGTTTGCAGTATTATAGGCTGGGTCAGTCAAAACTTTAACACAGAGTAAAATACAAAACCCGTCGTCTCCTTCCAGGAACTACAATTAAATGAATGAAGCTGTGAATGCAGTCTAACATAGAGAAAGGCAGAGAAAAATAATCTCCACTGAACTAACTGGGACTGACGGAGTTGGAGATACATGAGTAAGGAGAATGAGGGTGCGGTTCAGGAATGGTTCGGTCATTGAGCAGAGCTCAGTTTCGGATTGGCGCACCTCACCAAGGTACTGTACCTCGTACTCCAGATTCCCTCTGAAGAGACTCACGAAAACTATTTAATCAGCCCTGAAAGACAGCGGGATGTACTCTTTCATTGTGCTTTTCCATCTGTGACCTATTAGAATTAGACTGTGGAGCAATACATGAAGAAAACGTCAGCCTGCACATTAACAAGGTTAAACTGAATTGAGCTGGTTCCTTCTGTCAAGCTGAGGCCGATCAATCTGAATAAATTAGAGATATATAGAAAATAAATTGTGCCATAATCTTACTGTCTCTCCTTCATGGGCAATTGTTGGATCATTCAATAAAAAATCATGTAATGATCAAAATACTATGTGAGATCAAATGTTTTTGAGTCTTCGTCAATTTGCATCTTAACATTTGTGATGACTTTGCAATGGATTATGTGACTTTGTAGAAAAAGCTAATTTCTGGAGACCTATTTAAGGTCAATAAGCAGCTATGCAATATATTATACCGATAAGTTTCTGTTTTGAAATGTTTAAAATACATAATCTAAAATATAATATGCTGTATTTCAAAGGTATTACCTAACGCCAGAAAGTAATTTGTCTTCTCGGTCATTTCAATTACTTTACTAGAAACCCCAGATGAAGATCAAATTTGGCCTCACTCATAGAACATTTATGTTGCATCAATTTTTACTAATTTCTGGGACAAAACGCAAGCAACATAACAGGAGAAAAAATGTAATTCTTTGGGCAACTTTTAAATTAGTTTCCTGAGATCATGTACTGTATATTTCTGACTGTTTTCTTAAACAAATGTTAATCTTGAACATCGTGTGAATATGGCCACTTGTCTTGATGGGTAAAAAGAGTTTTATCCATTCTCCCTACTAACATCATTAGACTCCCCAACAGATTAACCTTAACTTCACTACCCACTACGCAAAGGATTCATTTCTTTTTGGCTCTGAATGAATGGCTTCCTTACAAAACAACCCCTTTAGAAGACTGAGAACACAAGGAGGTTAAGTCCTGCACTGGAAAGGAACCATTGGCATTTTAATGCAACTGTGCACATGCTACCAGATGAACTCTTTGCACTCATTACAGTGCCCACGCAAGATGTCAAAACAAAGGCAAGCGTTCCCGAATTACAAAGCCTCTGCTTGTTTGTGGGCACTTGGCTTCATGCTGGTGTATAAAAGTGCAATTGTGTGCTACAGCCACCAATAAAAGAAAGCTGTGTTTTAGATACAGTACAAGAGGTTAACAATTTTTAGAGGTTCCTGGGACATCTAGGAGAATTATCACACAATTACCAGACACACAGACACATACAGTATGGAGCTGCAGAAAGACAGGCAAAGTATTTAAGAAGGTTGGCTTGTTTTTAAGATTGTAACTGCATCACTGTCAAGGTTATCAATTGATGGGCAAATTCATTCCCAAGATGATTGCTAATTTCTTTACTGTATGTACACCACATACACACTTGCACTTGAATGGAGAGTAAATGAGATATACAGTATACCAATTTCAGGATACAGGAAGTCCGGCTGAAACATAACTTCTGGAAGTTCAAATGATCCAAGAATGCCCCATTATTTTTCATTTGTGTATTGCCTATACTGCTCGCAATGAGACGACACTGAGTGATCGTCGATTCATTAATTTAAAATTGGAAGTCATTAGGAGAAATTGTGTAATGGCACACTTGGGACCTGTGAGGAAAACAACGAATCGATCAGTAAAGCAAGCCTATCACTAGGAGACAGATAGAGATAGAGGACATATGCCTGTAACATGCAAAAGGGATCGACCCAGTCCTGCAGCAATCATCTGCTAAGGAGGTCAAAAGATGATTCAGTCTCCGTGTCCATCATCTCTTGCCCTCTCATCTCCAGGCAGAAACCCAAAAGATCTCTCAATCAAGTCCCCAGACAGGCAGGCAGACATTTATTCAACTAAGAGGAAATCCTCTCTGAAGAAAAAGTAAAAGGCTTTATTTATGAAATCAATGGTGAATCAGCAACATGGCCTTGTTGGTAAACATCAGCAATGATTACCTTTATATTCATGCATTATAAAGCCCTGATTTGAATTCTTCATTTCTGCTACTTCCTCTGCAATCAATTATTCAAGCTTTTCATTAGGGATCAGAACTGAGGAGTAGTAAACGAGTGAGAGGAAACCTGGATTAAACATTGAGCTGCACTTGGGTCTGTAAGCAAATGCTTTAACTCCAGACAACTCATTTACATTCCCTGAAATGATCAGCCGATTAAAAATGCATACCATGCCTGTAGCAACGTCTATTAAACTATCATCTTTTCTTTGCTTTTATTAAATGGACACGGTTTTAAATCGTGCCCTTTGTGCCTCCGCATCTTATCGCCAATATAAATTTTAATCTCTGTAATGAACATGTCTGCTGCTTTCCCATTTTTCTGCTAATTCTGCAACCCAATGTTCTGGCCACTTGGCTTGCTTTCATTAGTCTGCAGATTGTCTACAGACAACAGATTATGTAAACGACCATAATCTTTTCATTAGCCCTCTTATTTCCACGGTCATTATCTCTTCTTATGTAAAAAGGCAGTGACCTGCAGTTGCTATTTTTATCGATTTCACAGGTATAAATGAATTCCTTTTTAACCGCGTTTTTGAGAAATGTTTATACATTGACGAATGCACATCACTGCCAACCATTTTAGTGTGCAGTTAATACCATTTGTGTCATTCATTCTTTACTTTACTCAGCACCAACTGTGTGCGTTCAAATCCACATTACTTCCCTGTAGCTTTAATCATCTCAAATTAAAACTTTATATACAACTGCTACCGGATTTTGAGAACTTTATTGGAAAGATAATAAAATGGAAATTGTTTTTATTGGAGCTCGTCTGATCAAAACTATTTGAGGATTGGTCTATATGCTGTTACAATTGGAAATTATGAAAAAAAAAACTAGCAGAACCTTTTAGAAATACAAACATTTACTAGCAGGAATTTTAACCCTTGTATAATACATGAGACGTACACCAATAAGAGCACATACTTCAGCTCTGTACAGATGACTTTCAGGAGGAACTATGGCTTGCCATAAATTTAGATTTCTGTTTGACAATGGCTTTACCAACTCTTTTTGTTCTGACATTTAACACCGCAGAACACATTCTGCGGATGAAAAAGAAGAAATGTTTTAATTGTCAACATAAAAATTGTCTCTGAGCAAAAAAAGCATTATTTGACACACCTTGATACAGTTCAGCTTTTCATCTTGGAGACTCACAAACTTTAGAGGCATTTTGAACTCCACAGATTGCCAGCTTACAAAAGTGCCCTTGATGGCAGTAAGCTACGTTGCTATAGGTGTGCATGCACCAAAGTCATAAGTGATCCAGATTTTCCAATGACTGAAATGAGCTAGCAGATGTTTGATAATTAAGCACTGAATGGATATGCTGTCGGGCAGGTCTTTTTTTTTTCCCTGGAGGTGGTATCAAATAGAAAAATCATATGAACTCCCCTCCTTTAGTCTTTGCAAAGATTCCTTTGCTGTTTTAAGAATGAAGGAAGTGCAGCTGACAGATGTGTAGTAGATCATCATAAGAAGGGTAACAACGACAGGAGGGTTGTTCGGCTCAGCAAACTCATCTGGGTGTTGGCCAATAAATGTTCTGAGGATCTGACCAAGCCATTTCTTGAAAGAAGTCATGGTATCAGCCTCATGAACATGACTGGACAGCTTGCTACAAGTACCCAAAACCCTTTCAGTGCCTTTGAGGATTTGGAATACTTGAGTAGGATCCCCTCATAACTTTCTCTGTCTAACGTTTCTAGGTTTAACTTTCTCTGAATTTGTCCATAAATGTAATGCAGAAAAGCTACATTGAAAAAGACTAAATAAAACTGATCAATAAAGTTGTTTATGTGTTGTTTAAAGATACTGTTCCAACCACCTTATCATGTGTTCAAAACTTTAATAGATGTCTCTATGTTCAACATCTTCTCAGGTTTCTAGGCAATCCAGTTCTTGATCTCATCTATTCACAATTCCTTTAAAACTTTCCCCCAAAGTGTCCTAAACTTAAGATGGATAATTACAGATTCTCTAGCAACTTCCAATTTGGAACAATCTGAGGTGGACAAGGGAGAGGTCACAAAAAGCAGACAAGGCGAATAATAAAAAATGCTGTCTCAGCTTAGGCTTTAACAGGACGGTCCAATAAATCACATACTTTCTGCCTACCTGGCAGAGCTCATGAGTGTCGATAAAAATAGGCTGACAGAATAAAAATAAATGAACACCAGTAAACACCACACCACAGATCACAAGTTGGCAAGAGGAAACCATAAAGTGTATCCCCTTGTTATATTAGAAAAAAAATCTAAATTAATTTAGTGGTATTAACACTTATCTTACCACACAATCCATGCAAAATCAGTTTGTTCTACTAGTTTCTAATGATTCTAGTAACATAGAGCACTGGTGAGGCTTAGCTGATAGCAGTGACACTGTCCTGTCCCTGAAAAGGACAACCTAGCAGCACATCCCCTTGTAGACTTGTTTTGAAGAGCTTGTACTTTCAAATCTGAAAAATGGATTCAGAATAAACACATAAGGGCTAAATACCCTAGTCTGATTTCAATGGGATTATGCTGTCTGGTCCTCTTCAGAGGAGATGCACGACTGCAGCTTACCAGCATACTCGGGGTCCACATGAGGAGGGTAGAATCGAAAGTTGATGAAGAAGGGGATAGGCACTCCAAACTTGAACCATTCCACCACATAGGGGGGCTGCTGGCCGTTCAGAGGGTGGATCACATCACATCCCAGGATAACGCTGTCTCCAGCACGCGCCGTCACGAACTGGGGCTCCTCCCGGACTCCGTGGGCACCTGCAAAGAAACATGATACACTCTGATACGCTACGTTTTAAACACCAAACGTACTGCATGACACCCATGCAACATCCTGTTCAGGAACCTTTCTCCGTGCTTTGCCAATTACCCAATAATTAACTAATGACCAAGTTCAACTCAAATGTGCATATTTCTGAGAGTCAGAGCCTTATTGTCATGGCCACCAGTGGAAGGAGTGCTGAAAGGGTTAGCCTTCCCTGACCTGGCTACTTTATAAAGGTAAAATCCCAGCAGAAGAGTTCTGTCTTTCTCTGTCGCATCTTTAAAATAGGGCACCAAGAGTAGAATGTGCAACATTTTACAAAGAGGGAGAAAAAATATAAATATGAGATTACTAAACAGCAAGCTAATACTTTTTAGGAATACTTGTTTTAAAACGCCGATAAGACTTTAAACTAATCAAAGCTCTTGGGAATTCCTATTTCCAGGCGTAGCTTTGAATTTTGATTCTTAGTAACAGTGGTAAGATGTCCTTTCCAAAATTATGAATGCACTAACCACAGTGCTTTGCTAGTAAGTTTACCATGGTTCTATGGTAAAAGCCTGAAAATAGTGACACAAAGATGAAGCAGATTACAGGCGTTATTAATGAGAGCACAGAAATACATCAAATTTTTTAAGGACTTCTGTTTCTGCCTTAATTCTGCATTAATTTCAGTTTTCCAAAGTAAAATCTGACTGGAACACAATCTATTTTAATGCATTTCTTTTATGATACATCCTATCAGCTAAACATGTTTTTTCTCAGGGCCAAGACAATCATCAGTCCAACTTTCATTTGTCATTTTTTGTCCTTAATCATCACAACCTGCAAATCTACGCTGCTGGTTGAGCAATAATCAGCAAACCTGATACAGTTAAATGTTTTTCATTGCCGTTCACACTTCTGTTACTCCAGTTAAGATAATAAAATACTTATAAGCATACATTTAAGGTAAAAAATAGGTTCTAGGGAGAGAGTATCACCTCAGTTTTCTGAATATTTATTGTATTCTGTATACAATAAATTGATTCTCCACTTGGATATACAGTATTTGTTTAAAACATGTAATAGATAGAACTTGTACAAAGCACTTCCCTAGGGGCAGATTATCAATGTCTTTTGCTAAGTAATTTTCTGCTTTGATGGATCAAATTTCAAAGATGGGATCCAAGCAAGTGAAGAATAAAGAAATGGGTGTTTTTCAGCCGAATCGTTGTTTTTTTCCGAAATGAAACTAAAAGAAAACGTCGGAAGTGCTCCGACGTCGGTTATTGTCGATTTTGAAAATTTCTGACAGAGAGATCAACAGGCAAAGCCCCTCTGGTTACTGCTGAACAAATTAAGGACCTGTGACCTGATTATGCCAAAAGTTCACTTCTTTCCTCTCAAAACCTGGCACGCTTACTAGAGCTGTGGGGTGACAGCTGCACAATCCTGTCAAGAAAACAAAAAATTGAAAGAAAAAAATAAATGGGGTGGACCTCTGGCTTGTAATATGTGAAGTTTACAGTGCTTTAAATATTTACAAATACAGTATGTCTGTAGACAGGCTTCCAACTCTATCAACTGTCTCAATAATGAATGTTAACCACATCCCATTCCATAAATGCTAGAGCTTGTAGTGTCATCTCATCTTTCAAGGCAAAATGTTGATGTACAGAATCAAAATATGTAGACAATTTTGTATTAAGAATATTGATGCTGCAAATTTGCAACAAATTTAATACATGAGTATCAAATTTGATTGGTGTTTCACTTCTCACCTTATACTTCAACTGACATTGTACAGGTGGAATGGAAGCTTAAGATTCCTGTAAATTTTGATCCTGCTCTGGGGCTTCAGTGTTTTGAGCTTGTATATTTTTAGTATCCATTCGCTCTGGTCAGAATATATAGCCACAGGGATCCATCCCATCAATGGAAGGGCAAGCTGTGAGCCCTGAGTCCTCATTGATTGTGCGCTAACCCTCACTGGGATGAGCTCTGGAATGAGGAGTCATGCATTTCTGTTTTAGTGATCGATATGTACAGTATTGTACCCCTCCCCGCGCCCAAGCATGCACATTTCGCAAAAGGCAAAGGTTACAGTTTCTGCTTGGCAGAAAAGGCGCTCGTCTTTATGGATTTCCTCCCACTGGTACAAGTGCATTCACATTGCCTGTTCTCTCCACCGAGAAATAACCAAAAATCAACATCAAACTGTGTCAACAAAACTTCAGCCCATCTTCCTGCTGAACAGAGAAATCATTCAGTCTTAAGATCAAACGGGCCGTTTGACTTTATTTGGCTGGAATCCTCACATAATATGACTCTCATTCGAGAAAGAAATATCTCTTAGGTTACTTAAAAATATCCACATCAGTACACTGCAAAGCGGATTAAAACGTTTAAAACATGTAGGAAGGAATAAATCAATATAATCTGAGTTCAGAAAACAATATATTGGTTTATAACACTGCACAAAAAATGTTTTGAAAACATTCTGCATGTTTGGTTTTTAGTGTCTATCATTACGTTTTAACATAGTGGAATGTGAGATAAAAACAAAAAACCTCCCTAAAAAATAAGGTATTACAGTTTGCTATTTTTCTCTGAGCAATCTTAATTCAAGAATTGATCACACATTTACAATATGGCATTATTAGATATTAATGCGAGTTCAAATTGAAAATGTATCTTGTTTTTATTTGGACGATCAGATCTTTTTTTTTCCTTTTTTGTGCATGGACGTGTGATATCAGTTTGTGGGCATTCATTTTCAGACCTCTTTATCCACTTCGGAGAGGGTCGGGAGTGGAGCCTATCCTGGCAAGCAATGGGTGCAAGGCAGGGTACGTCCTGGCGCCCACTCCATCACAGGACACACACACACACACACACGCGCGCCAGGGCCAGATTTCCCAAAAGCTAATTACCCCACCAGTATATCTCTGGGAGGAAACCGGAGCAACCTGAACACAAGGTGAACATACACACTCTAGGAAGCTAGTGCTGCCCACATCAGTAGTTTATATGCCCAGTATTAAACTGCTTTCAAAACAATTCGTAAAATCTCATGAATCAGGGGATGTTAGGTTGCAGGCAAAGATCATTCAAAGCACCTCTAAAATCAATTTAGAGCACAGAAGCGTGAGTACACCTAAGGACACTTTTGCTTGCATATTTAAACAGCCTATTGAAAGCACAAATCTGAACAGCTTCCAGTTTGTTGGTGCTTATTGTCACTCATCTGTGCCATTTTCTTTCCTTTTCTTCAAGTTAACTTGTATGAATGTATGACCTACACATACGCTTTAGGTGGTGATACACAACACTGTACACAAGATGGGCGTATTACAGGACGACCTCTGACAGCCAGCTCCTTGAATTTGCAATGACTGGCAAATCAATCTATCCAGTTCATGCAAAACAAGCTGGGGAGATATGTTTAATTAAAAAAAGATTCCATGTCCATGATTTCTTTATCTATCTTGTGAATTTAGAATGCTAACGTTAATTATGATATATTTAGGATTCTGTATTTTTTTATAGTTTTTTATGCAGAACTTTTTTGAATGATATCAGGGAGGCAAACATCATTGATCAAATTAAAAATACAGTTCTTTTAGATAAAATTACAATAATATTAATAGTAAAAACAGTATTACGTTATCACTACGGTGTCCCAGTGCAAATAGCCAAGTCTCCCAGAGCCTCTGTTGTCAATCGCAGCAGGATGTGCTGATTGGCTAACGGTGACATCATCCGCTGGCAAAACAAGCCTTTCAGGGAATGACTTCACAGTTTATATTAAGGAGAGCAACAAGCAGTAACTAGCAGACCTCAGCTTCCCAGGAGGCTTTTCACAGGTTTACAATCAAAAGAAGCAGGGGAAAAGAAAGGCCAGCGGGTTCATCTCCATTAAAAAAAAAAACAGAAAAGAACACAGACTCCATCAGCACTCATTCTTTACACAGGTGTCACTGAGTTTCCAAACCAGAGGAGAAACCATGTGATCCATTCTAGTGGCACCAACCCATGTGTGGTGTGTGCTTCCATGTTACAATTTAGAGTTCATTATTACACAAGTCCCCATTAAATCACAAAATCATAAAATTGTAAGTGTACACCATTCTATAAATTCAGTAATGAATTTAGCTAACAAGCCAGCCTCTTCTGTTTTAGAGATAAGGTAAATTTGCCACCCTCACAGAACCATCGACAATCGCACGGCAGGAACTACAATGCTTTTTAATTGTTTGGTGCACCATTAGCTCTTGAGAGAAGAGGGGAATTCTGAATTCTTAAGATTTTTTATTTATTTAACACGCACGTTTCAAACATTTACATTTCTTTTAAATCTCTAACCCTTGATCAATCAGGATAAAAATATATTCAAGATGATCTGTCTGGATATCACCCTGCTCTTTGACTTCTATTGACTATCGCTTTGGACTGCTTGTTAGGTTTTAGGAAGTAAATCCTTCCTTCCAATAACAATGGAAACTGCTGGTACACCTAAAGAATCACAAATTGTAACACAAGAAGCACAATAATACAGCTGGGGTCCTTACAGAGGTGCAGATCTTGCTGAAGGTACAGAAACTGCGGCGTGGTCACAACGATTGGAAAACTGAATCTTTTTTTTGTTGTTGTTTTTTTTAAATAGCCAGCTTTTTTATTATCTTCCCTACACATTTTGAACGTTGTTTCACAATTTTGGGTGGGGGACTTGAGGTCGGAACAAATCCAATGGAATTAGTTTTAAAGTTGCGTTCAGGATGCCAGCGCCCTAATTTGTTAGAATTTCTATTTCAGAATTAATTAAATAAAAAAATACAAAGTAGGTCAGTTGAAGAGTACAGTTCATTCACAGTTCAACTCACTGTCTTCTGAACTATCTCCATACTTTAAATGTTACAATAAAGTATATCCTATACAACAAGGCTCCTGGTTAAAGCTGGTGCACCATGATGTACAGTATATTTCCATGTGGTTTGACCAAGACCTTCAT